ATACAATTTATTAGGTTGTATTTTCTTTCTGAAAGATGTTAATGGGACTCACAGTTTTGCTGCTTGAACTGAAGCTACTTGGATGTTTAATTATTATTTTTTAAACAAAAATCAATTCTGTTGGAGTCTGCTTGAGATCTTTGGTAGGTTAAAAAAAAGTCTTGACTATTCAATAGGTTTGAAAGGGGCTGTACATCTTTTGTAGTTTAGGGTTGTTTAGGGCAGTGTTTCTCAGCTGAGTTCTTGAATTCATCAGAAAATGGTTCCTGTAAGAAGTGGAAAACTTAAAAAGAAATCTGCACACATTTCTGTTTTACACGAGCAAGCAAACAGAACAGAGAAAATAGGGGCAATAAAATACTTGTCAAAGCTGAGCCTAGGTTTTACTGGGTTGTAAATGAAAATCACTGAGCAATACTATGTGAGAAAGTACACAGCTCCTCAACAAAAAACGGCTAGAAACAGTGATGTATGGCAAGTTTGCTTGTGTGGTGTAAGCCATCCTGACACCTAAGCCATGCCCAAATCATTAGTACTTCTGTTTGACCTAGTAAGGGCCCACCTAGAGTTAAAAGCTTTTGTCTGAAAAGAAATATGACCACATTAACTATCTTTGCATGACACTGCATTGACCAGCATATGCAGGTCCCTACTGCCCAGATTTCCTCCACTCTCCCCTTCTCATGCAAACTTTTTGGCAGGTCAGAAAGCTCATCCTGGTCAGCCTGGGTGGTGGGGTGGATCTGGCCACTGGGACTGAGGTGCAGCAGTGTTGGGCTGGGACTGGACCATAGCCTTCCCACAAGGTTCTTCCATGTTGCATCCTGTCACATTACTTCATCCCCCTGCTCTCTTGCTGTCCTGGGAGTGAGGAGCAGCAGTCTGGTACTTCAGTGCAAATAAATAATACATTTTACGTATTCTTTCAAGACAGAAAATCTTTCACCAAGATTACTGATCTTACTCCATAGTCAAACCCAGGTCACACGCTGTTCCTCTACTGCCTCACCACTCTCCAAGCCCCCCACTCCTGTAGCTTTCCCCTCCCTGCTCTCTCCTGCAGGGCATGTGAAAACAGGAGTCCACTTCAGATGCTGGTTTGTGGGGCAGTTCTGTGATGACCTGAAGAGGTTGGATCTGGCCAGCCCTGACCCAGGTCAGTGGAGCTGTAGCAGGATGAAAACCGTACCCCAGGTATTGAGATGAGAGGAAGAGACTCCTCTCTTTCTTCTTGCACAGGTTTTGCTGACAAGCACACCCTGGCTCTAGGCTAAGGCAAGCAGCACCTTTATGTGTGTGTGGCTCAGTGTTACACAGTGTCTTTTGAAGTCCTTAAGGATTAGAAGTGATTCGTTCAAAGACTGTGGCTGCAATGGCTGGACTGCGCAGCTGGGGGATGCAGCTGACTCAGTAAGCTTACGGGTTGCAACTCAGCATCTGTCAGCTTTTCCAGCTGCCTGGCTCTGAGTTTGTAGCGTATTAACACAGGAGTTTTCATCCTGTATGCCCTACCATTTATCCGTGGTGCTTAAATCTCACAACACATCTCTGAGGCCACCTTTCACTGCATCATTCACAGCAGCGACAGCTGAGGCACAGGAAGGCTGGAAAGCTTGATGTTGCCCTCAGGAGAGCTAGAGCCTTTCCTACATGCAGATTCAACAGTGGCATTGCTGTCATTATTGCCAGCATGATGTTGTTTTACTAGGAAGAATCATTACACTAGCACAATGGGAGCTGTGGATGTAGTTACTGTATGACTCTGTAATAACTGGGATAACAGCAGAAATACTAACCTTGAGAATCTACAAGTGTGGTCTGTACTGACATGGCTGGACAGTCCTCGGCCCTTGCAGTCTGAACCATTGGTGCCAGACCTCCAATGAGACCCTTAAGCACAAACATCAACATCGTCCCTAGGAAAGCCAGGACCTGCCTAACATAAAGGCAGTGGTGCTCTCAGGATCTGCAGGCTGAGAGGCTTGCATATGCTCATACACAAAATCAGTCCTTATCAACATTGCAAGAATATCTATGAGGACCATCACAATGACTAAGTTTCTGTGAGCACAGTCATGTAGGTGGCTGCCACACAGCATGGTTTGTTACTCTGACTAAAACCCTTAATGAGAACAATTACTAGTTTGAGGCATGCAGAGACTGGAAATTACAAGGAAGGGTGAACAAGGTTTGTGCTTCTATCACAAAGGCACCCCGAGGAATGTTAAAACAGGCTTATTCTAATAATTCTTATGAATATGTGAGGTATATTTACTGAAACTGAGCAGCATGTGGATTCTTACAGTCGTTGATGCAATTCACTTTCAAGATAACACTATGGGAGGAAGACAAGCTGTATGGGTTTTTTTCCATGCTTTTCTAACATAAGCAGAGTTGCATAGCCTAGATAAAATCTTTGAGGTCAGTGGAATCTTTTGTTCAGGTATTTTTTCTCACAGGATTGTTTTCCTTGGTATTACTATGCAAATAATCTTTCTGTTGGATAATGTGATTTCCTTTTTGACTTACCTTTAAATGCTCTCTAGTCTCATGAACAAAAGATTTCTGTGACTTTATATAACAATTTATGTATTAGCAAAGGGTCATGCATCTGTGTCCTGTGTAAATTATCAGTAGAATGTAAATTACTCATTTAACTACCAAGCCTAACTGAAGATGGAGTGGCAGGGCAAACTGAGTTAAAGATAATCAAAAGGAGGCATGACTATCTGTTAAAGTGTGGCTTAATGAGAACACAGTAGGAAAAAGAAAACAGGATTTCAGTCTGTATGGCTAAGCACATAGACAGCAAGCTGTATGGTCTGAAGACAGAATTACATCAGAACCAGCTTCAGAACAAATAAAGGACACCAAAAGAAGGTAATTATGCCTCAAGGGAGAGTAAAATATCAAGGGTATCAACTTATGCAGAAGGAAGGAAGAAAAAAGCTGTGCCTGCCTGCAATCAATCAGTTCACCTTTAAACCTTAAACTCTTTGAGCTTAAATAGGATTATATTGAAGACAAAGGCAACATACAGTCATCTTAGAAATTCAGCCTTGTCTCTTTGTCTAGTGTTCAGCAGTATCTCTTGCATGGGAAGGTGCAGTGGAGTTTTCAGCTGCTCTGATTTGCCTTTTATTACCTTGGTGATCGTGCTGTTTTGCTGAGATCTGTCCTGGTTCTGGTTGCTCGCAGATCTTTTTAAACAGTACAAACATTGGTGGATATTTAACACCTGCCCTGTGCCTGTTACAGTTCCATGGAGTGCAGCTTTTTAGGATTTCATAAACTTAAATCTAGAGGTGCTGATTGGGTTCTTATGTAGCAGAGTGCTTAAGCTCAGTTTTATGAGCTGCTATGCGTACATACATGTGTTTCAGTCACTGAATTCAGTGAGTGAAATAAAATGTGTTGCTTGGATCTTGAGGATTTAAGCACATTTTGCCAAAGTGAAACCTTAGTCTTGTGCATTTCCTGTAAAATCATACAGAGGGCTAACCATAACTGGTTGAGGTTTTTTTCTGTACCAATTTGTTTTAAAAATGACTGATTCTGGTGGCCACTAACAATTACAATCTGGTTCTGCTGATAGTTCTGTTTTTTTTAGATCTCTTTTTTCTAAAGCTTTTGGGATCTGGTTCAGCATGTTCCGATTGATTTAAACTACTGTCAGACCAACATTTCACATGTACCTTGCCTCTGTGAAAAAGGCTGTACAACATGCTGGCTGTGGGGGAATTGCAGATTTATAGATTTTAGAGCAAAGGGAGAACATGATGTTCAGCTAAACTGACTGTGGCCTTGCCCAGTCCATAGGTTCTTTTATTTAACCCAGCAGCTTGAGGTTGACTGGGAGTGTATATTTGGAACAATATCCTAGCTTGATTTAAAGACTCCAAGTGCTGCAGAGTTTGTCACAGTCATTGAGAGTTTGTTCCAGTGGTCAATTACCTTTTCTCTGAAAAATCTGTACCTTATTTTTTGGAACTCTGTAGCATCAGACTTCTGAAAACTGAGTCTTGCTGTTTGACTTCCTCTGCAGGACTGGGAACCCTTTATTTTCCCATAGATATTTCTTCTGATCATTAATTTATATTTTCATAATGTAAGAAAACTTCTTTATACTCACAAACCCGGTTAGGCAGGCATGTTTTCCACCCCAGTATTCCCGTGCTAAAGGTCTGACATAATAAAAATATGCCATCTTAGAAAAGAGTCAATATGACCATGGTGCTTTTTATTTTAGTTATTAACCACTGGTTTATGATTTTATATGATTCATCGCTAGGATGTTAACACTACGAAAGAAAAGGTATGCAGTATGTGTTGTAGTTATATGGTAGAAATCACAGTTGCTCCACTGGCCTGCAGGATACTATTTTCAGTATTTACTTGTATGTGTCAAATATGCTTTACAAATGACTTGAATTCTCTGCTATTTCTTTCTCCTTAAACAATCACTATGGTTGGATGATATTGAAAAAGTATTGGTCCATGCCCTTTCCCCTAGGCAAGATCAATAATTACTGTGAGCCTGCCTTCCAGTGTTTTTTTCTGAGAAGTTGAATGCAATCATATTGTTACTTCCACACAGAATGAAAATTATAAGAAGAAGGGTTTTCAAAAAGCCTAAGCAGCATAGAATCATAGAATCACAGAATGGTTTGGGTTGGAAAGGACCTTAATATCATCTGGTTCCAACCCCCCTGCCATGGGCAGGGACACCACACACTAAACCGTGTCACCTGAGGCTCTGTCCAGCCTGGCCTTGAACACTGCCAGGGATGGAGCATTTACCACTTCTTTGAGCAACCTGTTCCAGTGCCTCACCACCCTCATGGTAAAGAACTTCCTTATATCTAACCTGAGCTTCCCCTGTTGAAGTTTAAGTACCCTGTGTCCTTTCTCACATAGTTCCTTTAGAAACCAAGTAAATCCTGCCTCAATGCATTTGTCTGGCTGCTTTATGGGTAACTATTGTTTCTGTTTCTCCTTAGGGCTCTTCCTGCAATGATGCACTGGGTCCGAACTCAGAAACCAGGAGAAAGTGGTGTGAACATTATCACTGCAGATTTTGTAGAACTCGGCGACTTTATCAGCACAGTCATAAAGCTCAACTATGCCCTGGATGGAGGCGAAGATGACACTACCTGATAGTCCTATGATACGTGTTCTGTTGCATCGTTTAGAGTCAAAAAAAAAAAAAAAAAAAGATTGCATTTTAAAAGAATTGTCTTGTAAAACACTAATTTTCCTATAACACTCCGAGGTGTTTAGGGCTTTAGTGGGTGGGCTTAGGGAAAATGTTTTAATCAGTTGTGATCATTTTTTATGTTTATGTTTCATGTGAAGAGCAAAACTAGATATGTTTACAGTGTTTGATAAAAGAAGGCCATTTACATGTTCTCCGTGAGGTACCAAATGCGATCTATGTGTCTTCAATGGTTACAAACAGTGCCAAGAAATTTGCTGCTTTTAGAGCAGTGGGATGTATACTGCCCTCTACCTGCTTACAGCAGGATTCCCGATGGTATGAGCATAGCACCGGGAGTCTGAGGGCAGTATATCTGGCCCACAAATTTTAAGGAACTACACTTCATCTGTTATGTTGGTTTAACTGGTTGTATATATCAGTGAGTTACAGTTTAAATGCCTTTGTGAAATAAATCCAAAGTCATGCCTCATGCATAATCAGTGGACAGTAAACATGATGTATTATGTAGCTTGCATAGGGCACAGACTAAATCCTGCTTGCTTTTCATTCTCAAAATGGGATTTTCCAAAGTCTGCCCCGGGTCAAGTGGGTAGATATGTGGTGCTGGTCTAAATCTGTAATAGGAGCTGCCAGTGCATATTTTCCCTTGTTCTAGCAGGAGCAAAGTTAGGCCAGCTTGGAGCACCACTTCCTCCCAAGATTAATCTTATTAAAAGCTTGATCCAGTGTCCACTGAATTTAATAGGAAAATTTCCTGGATTTAGCATGGACTGGGGATAGGATCAGCAAATTGTGTGTACTGTAAGGTGGGCAGGATTTTGTCCCATAGTAGAAACCTGCTTTCTGCAGGACTAAAACTGCACTTAAATAGTAAAGTGCAGTCTAAGCTTTTCTTTGAGGCAGCTACAAACACAACACTTCTCTGCTGATTGCAAAAAAATCAGTGCCAGTCTCATCAATGAAAAATTGCTGTACTAAAAAGTGTAGTAGTTCATTTTCTAGCTAATAACTATACTCCTTAAATTGTTCTGGGGATATAATACCACATAACACAAAGTTGGAAGTCTACTGAATGGCACTGTTCTGGCAGCAGAATCACTGATCATGCTACTTTTAATGAAACTTATATAAAATTCAAATACATTAGAAACCTAGTCATTCATAAAATGAAAGCATTGCCACTGTAATACACCTAACTGGATACAGTGCAATCAGTCATATCTCCTGAACATATCAACGCCCAGGCACGCAACTTTGGAAAGGCAAACATTTCATTTGTGCAAAACAATAGATGCTTGATGTCTTACGAGGAAAATGCTCTTTGACATATTGCAGGGCTTTCTGGGTTGGCACTAAGGTCGAGTTTCTGTTGCTATTACTAGAACTTTTGGTTGAGTGAGAAGAGAGAATGGCATCATATGGTCCTTTGCTATTTTCTATCAGATAATAAGGAATATCACCTACCATCAGAGTTTAGAAAATTAAAAATGGTCTTATTGAACAGGTAGGTTACAGACAGATTGTAGGGGTTCCCTTGATTTTAGTTTAGGAAGTGGAAGAAAATGAACAGTTGCTGCTATTTTGTACTGAGAGTGTGCCTTGGAAAAAGTGTGTGTGTGTGTGTGTGTGTGTGTGTGTGTGTGTACTATAAAGAAACATTGAAGCATATGTGTAGTATAATGACACAATAATTAAATGTATGTATATGAGACAAAGACATCTGTGCACACTTGCATAATAATATTTGGGTTTCTGGACAGGAATATTATAAATTTGTTTGAAATGAAACCTGTGTAGCTGTTATGAAGTTATGCCATCTCCTTCAGTAACAGGTTTTTTTCCTGCATAGGTTAGGACTGTATGAGATGAATCTTATGTCCTATATTGGATGACTCTTACATCCAATGCAGTGATGTAAGACAGTGAAATCTGTGATCTAAGCCAATTAGGGTTTTATACTGCATTAGAACTTTACCCAAACTGCCTCAAAAATTTACCAAGAGTCATAGTCCATCTTCGGATGGAACGAGGGGTAGGACTCTAGTGCTTTAACCCACAACTAAGCAAGATACTAGGAGGGTTGATGCACTTTGTTTCAGTCACCATAGGCTATCCAAGCAAAATTTATGTAACAGACACAAAAAATGAAACATAAGCATATGGGGTTTTTTAAACAACTCTGTGTGGGTGTCCCACATAGAAACATGGAAATCTTTGCTTATTTATTAGGTATGTGGTGTGAAATGCTCTTTTCATTTTTCTGTTTAGCTGGATTTTTTTCATTCCAGACTCTTCCTGTCATCCTTCAGCTGCTTAAGTATAGTCTAAAGAGTTAACCTATCCTTTTAATATAGTGAAGTAATCTGGGTCCTTGGGTAGAGCGAAAACTAGGTTTCTTTTTTTGGATTCTGATTGAAATCTTCTTGCATCTGAGAGCATCAACAACAGCGAGTTCCTGCTGGGAACCCTAGCTCAAACACACACCAGACATGCTGAGCTTTATGCTTACACAGAGATGTGCTCAAAGCAAATGTTCTGCTGTATTTAGGAAAAGTGTGTGTGTGTGCCTGTATATATGAATAAATATAAAGATATGCTGAGCTTGTTAGCATTGTTATTAAATGTTTGCTTAGTGTAAGTTTTATTCTAATTGTCATTTGCGTGCTGGAAATACAAGCACAGCAAAGAAAAAGAAGAAAAAGGTCCTCTGCCAAGAAGGATAATAGGCAAATCATATGGGTTCTCCATTAATGGGAAAGAAAAAAAAAAAGATAGCAAAATGTTAAATTTTGGTCAGAAAAAAATTGTTTTCATTTAGCTGTCAGTCTCTTTTCTGTTGGAGAAGCACAGCACTTTATGTTACAGACAGGTAAACAGACTTGCCTTAATTACTAAAACAAAGGTGGGGAGGGGCATACTATTGATGCTTTTCTGGGGATTTCATCTACGAGGCCACAAAACTGTAAGTCCTGATGGGGATGCGCTCACTGATAATATTGTCTGGGAGATCTAACCAGAAAAGAGCAAGCCAGAAAGGACTATGCAGCACAACTTGACCATTCAGGAACCCAGTTTTGGCACCCGTATACAGCTAAAAACTCTCTTTGATTTCAACCAGAAATGAGCTTGCAAGGTTAGGTCAGATACGTTGTTCTCACCTAATTCATTTGGGAGTTTTCTACATATGTATTATGAGGAATCTTTCATGGGAAATTAGATGACTAATCAGCCTATCAGAGGAAAAATACCTGTCTACACTATTGATCTTCATAAGCATCTATTTGCTCAAACTGTCATGTCATTCTCCTTCAAAACATTTTTTTCTTCCTGTGCTCATTTTTCTCCTTGCTATGTTCATTGTGCATGCCTCAACTAGTGTTGCTTTCTGAAGTTTCCACATCATTACTTGATCCTTTCTTTTCAGTCATACTTGAAAAATTGTGACTGTGCTACACAACACATGCAGTGTCTCAGCAGGTGTAAGCCTACCTGGCTCTGTTTTTCAGTTTACACAGGCTGAGACGACTTTATTTAGTACTGATCCAACCAGTAGCAATTTGGACCAAACAGTAGGTGGTCCTGGGGTCTGATTCCTGCCTTGCGTGGAGAGGAATCATATCAGAATCAGACCACAGGAGCCTAGTTTTAAAATATATATAACAGCGGGTTATTTGCATTCCTTTGCTCTTGGTTATATTATTGATTCTCTTGGTCACATTATTGATTCTCTTGGTCCTGCCACTTCAAGCCATTCTTTTAAACGTACACATGTGTGTATATATATGCACATATGTGCGTGAGATGGAATGTATGATCCTATATGCTGGGCTAAGCCTTTCTGTCATACTGATACAAATCTAGACCATTTCTGCTAACTTAAAAGTAGTTACTTTTACCCTGGGATGAGAGGGAGCAGATAATCGGTGTGTGGTAAGTATATGCTGTGCTGCAATGTAAAACTGCGGAGCTTAACTATAAAATATCAAAGTGAAGAGCCCTGAAATCACTGCTGCAGTGCTGTTTATCTTGAATATCTTGTATATGGAGCACTAGGTATTATCAGCTGAGTATGCTGTTTGGTGATTTTAAGAGTTCAGGTAACACCATTTTAAACATCTGAACTTCTTTTCAGTGAAGTTAAAGCTAACAGTGTATATGATGTATTTGCCCTATCTCAGTGGTAGCTTCTGTGTTACATGCAGTCAACGTTGTTCTGAATTGTGTATGTTTAATCAATGATGAGGTTAAAATATGCTCTATAGTATGTGAAATGTATTGATTACAAGTATGTAGGAGTTCAGTGATCTATTTAGTTTTTACTGTGCAGCTGTTTTGTAGGTATGTGTGTGTATGGGGGTATGGTTGTCTACAGTGTACAACAAAATAATAATTAATCCTAAAGGAAAAGGGCAGTTACGTAGCCTGCCTTAATGCATTGGCATAATATTGTTTAAATCCAATAATTATCATGTCTGATCTCAAATGTTACCAAGGATTGCCCATAGGTCTGACTTTCTCACTTCTTGGCACTAAGGAGTTAAACTTGAAGTTACTTGGAGCTCACATGTTGATAGATAAAGAATAGGATGTTTGCCTAATCAACTGTCTTGAATGTACAAGTTGGCAAAGACATGGTTTCCAGAGTGATACAGATCAAATCACTTCTGTGCACACACAGCTCCAGCTGATGCCAGAAGCAGTTGTGATTATGTGGCTAAAAGTCCTAAAATTCACCTTCTAGGATACAATCATGACAGGAGAGTGCTGGTACCCTGGCTTTGGGGAAGTACCTGGATGCTATGCAATACTGCTTACATCCTGTACTGGAACATAGCTGTATATTCACAGGAAGAGCTTTGATCTCTGTTCCAGTCTAGGTTGGACTGTAAAAATCCTAAATTATAAATGTCAGAGGCTAAGCAGCCTGGGCTGGCTAGCCCATATGCAGCATTCTGCTTTCAGGAGTCATGA